TTACAATTTCTAGTTTCTATATTTTTCTAAAAACAATGTACACATTTTTAAAATCAAACTGAGTTATTATTAAACTGAAATCTACACGTTCACAAGTTAAAATTAAAAATTAAAAACCGGTCTTTTAAGATGTTTCTCGATTGTTAAAAAAGTAATTTAATTTTAGACCAACTTAGATAACCTTAATTAAGTTACAATAACACACCCTTGTAAGATTTTTTTTTGCCGCTAAACATGTGTTTCCTGAATTTTTTACCACAATATTCATGTTTGGATCCAATATTATCCAAATTAACCATGTCTTCATCATAAATTCTATTATACCCAATTTTCAAACAAATAAAATTTACACAAGAAAGGGGAGGCCAATAGGATTGCAGTTTCCTTTAAATTTTGTGAGGGGATGCCAATAAGATTGCAGTCCCTTTTAGATTAAGTTATATTTTTATAAGAGGACTGCAATCCTATTGGCACCCTTCAAAAATTTTTAAGTGGCCTGCAATCCTATTGTTGCCCCTCACAAATTTTAAAGGGGATAACAATCCTATTGGCGTCCCTCATAAATTTTAAAGGGGGCTGCAATTCTATTGACACCCTCTTTAAATGCACATGTACAATTTTTTTTTATTTGAAAGTTGGGTATAATGGTATTTATGATGGAAACATGGTTGGTTTGGAAAATATTGGGTCAAAACATGGTTATCTAGGTAAAAATATCATGTGTTTACTAGTGTTTTTAATAAATAATTACGAGTTTTAATTCTCTTGTAAGATGAAATTTGAAAAATTCTTTGCGTGAACAATTTGAGAAAATGTATTAGTGCAAATTAAAAGATTTTTTAATGTAAAAGTTCAAGAAAGCAAATGCATATGTGCTTAAATTGAAAAAGTAAATAAGGAAAAAAAAAATAAAGAAATAGGATAAAAAATGCTTGAATTAAGAGTGAGATGCGAATTCAAACATTTATCACAAATTCTTTATCTTTGTGACTTGAATACATGAATTTTATATAAAATATAATGAGTTGTGAACCTCATTACAAAAATTAAAATCTACTTATATACTACGAACATCGATAACTATGAATAACAGTTACCTCTCCAGTATTCAACGTGTATCTTGTTATGCGTGCTTTTGTCTTCTGAGGTGTTTTTACGTGTCTTTGATTTTTGAACTACTTCAAACCGTTCTGCTGTCGAAAGCGTCTCTAACAGATGCTCCCCCCCCCAAATACCATTTTTCGATCATATTTGCAATATGGTCGAGAGATGGCGTTTTTTTTAGTAAACTCCCAACACTACTCAAACTATTATGCATATGTCATCGTCATCATGACTACCTCTATCTAGTCGCCACGTCTGAAATTGTGCAAGTGCTAGTCATCATGGCTCCGATTTCTAAGATCCTTGTGGACCACAAAATATAATCCTATTTAATAAAATAAAAATAATTAACTACTAATGATTTAAAATAAACATCAAAATGTTGTTGTTTTAACTTTAAAGGGAAACTAAAGCGGTTTAATATCAACACCTATATATAACTTTCTTCCACTTTTTTCTTCCTTTTCACTACATATCTCTCTCTTGAATCCTAAAAACTTCATCTTCTGCAAACCCATTTTCTAGTTTTCTTTTACTCAAGTTCTGAAAAATGGCTTCCTCTTCTGGCATAAAAAAGCAGCCTCAAATTCCTTTTACTATTGATATTAAGGCTCCTATTTATTTTGATAATCACACTTACGTTCTAGAACCACCAATGAAGAAAGAAAAATCTATCATTTGGGCTTTTTAGGTATTGATTCTCTTCGCTTTTGTAGGTATAAGGCACATGCATTTATGGGCCCTTTACCCATATCATCTATGAAGCATAATAATCTGGAAGACTTTTTTCCCTTCTTTACCTTATTGTTCACCTCGTGCATTTGAGGACGAAAGCTTTGAGTTGGGGTTCATGGAACAACCCCATTGTGTATTTTGTTCTTTTCCCTCCATCAATAATGACATTTACCTCAATTGGATGAATAAAGTGGAAAGGAAGAAATATGGCATATGGAAAACTCAAGACATCTTTGATTTGATTCAATTATCAAGAATTGGGCCAAGGTATAATGCCAACATGCTCATATATGCCTTTTATTTCTGAGAAGCTTTGACCAATACATTTCATCTTCCTTGTGGGATGATAACTCTTACACTTTTTGAGGTCGTATTTATCACTAGTCTTCGACTTATAGGGGAAACTTTTAACCTCACTCTCTAGAAAAAGATTAAACTTAGTTTTACCTTTAACCATCCAAGCTTCAACACGTAATTAAAGACCACCATGACCAAACTAAGAAAGCCTCTAAGTATGAACATATTGCCTTACTCACCCTCTGGTTATCCCACTTCATTTTTTGTTTCTAGTTCTCTTTAATTAGCCAAGAGGTTCATACCTCTAGCAACTTAACTTCATGAGGGGAAAATGTTTGTCTCAACAGATTGGTCCAGGGTTGTTTCTATGAATCCTTAAGACTTCCCTCCTTTGAAATAAAAAACCAATCTAGTTTTGACGAAAATCTCTTGATTTCTAGCTCTATATGGATCTTGCAACTCTGGCTTAATGCCAATTTGAACCTACTCTAAATTTTACTGTTCCATTAGATTTAGTAAGACAAATGAAAGGTGATAGACTCGTTTTTCTAACCCTAAAATTCATCTTTCATCATTCTCATATTTTCACACTTAGTTGTTAGAAGTTGCAACCTTAAATGTGCTTTCATGAGCAGCCTTGAGAATCTACCAAGCTTTTTTAGCTTCAATATAAGTGTTGATTAGTCTGAACATGTTTATGTTTACACCATATATTATAACATTCAAAGATTTAAGCTTCACCATCTTCATCTTTGGACCAATCGGCTTTAGGCTTTAAGCTTGTTGGACCATCTTGAGAAGTGAGCACATAATGTTTCCAAAATTCACAACCTTTCAAGTTTTGTTATCTATGCATTTGAGAAAAGCAACCAACTAGAATTTCTAATAGTCATAATTTATGTCATCTAAAACAGGTGACCTGTTGACTAAACATCCATCCTTAGTGTTGTCCATTTGAACAGAAAATATCTTCGCTAAAGCTCCCACAAACAAAACAAGATGCCTGCTCTGATGCCAATTGAAAATTTATTTCTTAGGGAACAAATGTTGGACACGATGTTGGGATAACTGGTCCAACTTGTTAAACCAGTATGGCAACAATATAACAACAACAAAATTACAATGTAGAAAATAATAAAATAACAGAAGAGATTGGTAACCAAGTTCGGTGAAATCATACCTATGTTTGGAGATCACTCTATGCAAGAAAGGAAACTCACTATTTTGAATTAGTACAATTAATCTTATAGGAACACCAACCTCGTGATGTGAAATGCCTCTTCCTAATACTAGTGATTTTTTATTTAGGACTCCATATAAATATGAGAACCTCTATCACTTTCTCTCAATCATTAATCCCAAATGATGAACTTCAATATCAATGATATTGAATGTTGAATTTACAACTTAACTAAGACAGACCAACAATTATGCCATGTGACTGAAGCAATAGTGTGATATACACAAATAAGATCCAATACCAATCCTTATGATATGAGTGATAACATTAGCTTGGATATCTGATTTGAATCCTTCCAAAATAATAGCTAAATCTATTAGATTTGATTTGCTCCATAAAAATCTCCAACAAAAGATATGATTTATTATATTTCAGATTCAAATTTAAATATCCATTTAAATATGATTTGATCTTCAACATCTGTCAAACAAATCACACAAACATTTCTAAACAATCTACAACATATCTAATTGAATCTCAATCATAAATTTCGCACCTAACAACATCCATCATGGCCGGTTAACAATGGTCAGATGTTGCACTACACACATGTTGGAACATCGTGGTCCACATGTTGCACCAGAACATCGAAACTAACTCTCTCCGTAAATTATAAATCTTCTTAGTAGAGTGAATCGTGGATTAAATAAATCAGAACCAGAACTGCAATAATATATGTCTGTTGTCAGAGGCCAGATGTTACAACACACATGTTGAAAAATCGTGTTTCACATGTGTCCCTTTTGCACCAGAAACAGCTTAAACATATTTCATGTTGTTTTGCATAATGCATTCAATCGAGAAGAAACAACAATATCATTAAAAAAAGGACAAAGTAAATGTTTTCCCACAAATAACATTGTTTCCAAAAATTTAAAATAAGAAAAAACAGTGAGTTCACAAACTCACATAAAAAAAATCGTAGCATATAAGACCCGTTTGTTTTGACTTTTTTAAAATGATTTTTATAGAGTAATATAATTTAGTGTAAAAATTTTTTACAAAGAAACTTTCAATAAAAGTTTCAAATGAAAATTTTGTTTGAATAGTTATTCTTAAAATGATATTTTAGATATTTCATCATTTTATTGAAAAAAATTTTAAATATCAAACTTTCGGAAAAAAAAAACTTAATTTTAAGCTATTTCAAATAGATTTTCATAAAAATTATTTTTGAAATACAATTTTTTAGAAAAAACTGTGATTTCAACTTTTTTTTTTTTAACAATATATAATTATGCTGTAGGATGTTAAATTTAGTCTTTTATTAAAAAACAAATATACAAAATTTTGTAAATATTTTAAAAAACATTTTGTAAAACCTATTTAAAAAAAAAATTCCATTTTTCAAAGCTGAATCTAACATGCCAAACTAATACAAGTTACCTATACGCATCAATCAATCAAATACAGAATTAGATGCAAGTGCAACATTTTCTGTCAATAATTGTTCTTATCTTATCTCGAATACTCAAAATGGTATATATTCCAATATTTATGTATTTGTCTTTACTAATAAAATTCTCCTTAAAATCTAACTTTTTGCATCTATAAATAATAAGTTCATTTAACAGCAAAACAAACAAACACAATAAGAGATATTACTGCATAAACTTTCCATAACATGGCTGGCTTATGGAGGAACAATTTCTGCCAATGGAGCAACGACGGTGGAAACAACGGAACCATTGACGCCTTTAACAACCGGGGTGGCCAGCAAGATTTTGGTGAGGCTGAATTCAAAACTGGTGCACAAATTACCAATGGAGGTTATACTAATCTTCATAACAATGGAACCAAACATGCATTCAACAACTCTTATGGAGGAACTCAGAATTTTGGAAAGGCCACGTTTAACACTGGCGCTAGGATTGGAAACTAAACTCCTTTGCACGTTTCAGGAGCTTCATGGGAGCTTCACAAATAACAATAAAATAAATTGTGTGTGGGAGCTTTAAATTGTTTTTAATCAATGATTTTATCCTATATTGCCATTCTGATTTGAGTAATTATTTTCATGGCCAATAATTTTCAATGAGTATTTTCAAACATATTGATTTTGAAAATAAAATAATATATTCAAAAACTTTATCTTAGAAAAGGCGATTGTATTAAAAATGAGAGTAAGAATAGTACGAAAAAGTTGACATATATTTTTCCGAACACAATATTTTGGGTTACAATCTCTCATTAGAGATCATTATTCTTACAAATTCTATGTCTTCGATTTATCAAGAAGAATCTGTTTGTAATATCATGTTTCTCAATCTGGTGAATTTATTTCTAATAAACGAATGTCAAATTGGAGGTTAAGAGAATGAAAGATTAAAATATGCTAATCTTCATTCTAAAAAAGTTTAGAGTAAAAAGTGGCATGGTTAGAATTGGTAAGTTACCATCTAAGTTTTAAATAACTGAATGAGAGAATTTCCTCTCATTTCTCACTTCACATTCTCTTTTCCATTTCTAGAAAGAGAGAGGGCGCATAAGTGGAAGAGAGAAGGGGGAGAAAACCTAGCAAGTGGAATTCTTATAGTGCATGTTTAAGTTGAAAGTTTTGAGGAAGGCCAACTGACTTGAGTAAAGTTCAAGGATCAAGTGATAGCATCCTCATCATCTCATTTTCTTCATCACCTTCAAGTCCAATATCCAAGTTCAATTGAATGTGGGTTTCTTAGTTTAGTGTTAGCAATGGGGGAAATTAACATGCATAAGTGGGTTAGGTTGGTTCTTGCATCTCAATATGTGTGTTGAAATATAAGGAAATGAAATGAGCACATATCAAATCCTAATTGGTCGAAATTATCGTGAAAACCCTCGTTGGTTAATGATCGCACCAAAATCTTAATTGATTCAGCTGATATGAAGAAATTGTTTATCGTTATTTTTAGTAAATTAAATCACAAGGTTTCGTTTATTTAGAGATTAAATTCAAAAAAATTCTCTGGACATTTTGTTCAAAAGTTTTGAGAAAGCATGATTGTGTTTGATTATTTGATGTTTGAATGCAAAAAATTGTATTGAAATTCTAATAAGAACATTGCAGCATTGTTCTAACAAATAAAGTAAAGCAAAGAAAACAATAAAAGCAATTAAATAAAGTGGTTTGATAAAAAAAAACTTAAGAACAAGGACGCATATTCATACATGCTCCCTCACAAACTCTTTTTTCTCTATGACTTGGATACTCGAGTTCTATAAAGAATATTAATAAGTTTCTGAACTCTTGTTACATGAATGCAATCGGCTTATGTACTACATTTTCATAACTATCGATAACGGTCCCCTCTTTAGCACTTGACACGTACACAATTACATGATCTTCTATCCTCTACTTTTCTTCTACATGTTGGTATTTGAAACTGCCTCTCAGCTACTGCAAATGCCGACAACTACTCTCAAATCTCTTAACTGCTTTTGTTCAAAAAACATCTTTAAGTCTTCTAAGTGCTCGTGTCAAAGATCTTCTTTGTCGAATCTTGAAGCATGATTTGAACAACTTGTATTTTAACTTATGTATTTATTTCACTGCCCCAATTCCTGTTGAATATGTCAAATCACTGCAAACCTTTTCGAGATTCTAGACATGTTTTGAGATTCTTCCAAACCATGCTTCGTGGGTCTCCAGATCGTCTAATCCTTGAACTCAAGAATACGCTAAATCCTAAAAACATTTGGGAGGCGAGCCGAACTCATTAACTCGATCGAAGTAATCCACATCTCGAATATTGTAGCTAAGTAGTTTTATACTTAACAATATCATACTATGACATCACACTTTTACATAAAAAATATTAGACAAAAATTTTCAAGATAACATACACTAGTACATGAAGAGCATTTTACACCGGTTTTTTTAGACATATTGCACCCGTTTGATTGGGTGTAAATTCATCGGGTGAGATATGCATGACAAATTTACACCCATTTTAGATATGTATGAAAAATTTACATCCATTTTAAAATGGGTGTAAAAGAAGTGTATATTACGTCTTATTTTACATATAACGGGTGTAAAAAGACTAATATTTACACTAATTATCAATTTATTTACACCCTATTTTAAATATAACAGAGGTATAAAATATCTTATATTTACACTAAACTCCCAAGAATTCATATCCTATTTTACATATAATGAGTGTAAAATGTATGATAGTTATGCTGAATTTTAACCAAATTACACCTTATTTTAAATATAATAGGTGTAAAATGCCTAATATTTACATCTAAGACAAAATATGTGTGGATATTATTTGATTCATATGTCTTTAAGTTTTTCTCCTATTTCAATTAAATCACATTAAAATAAAAGTCAATAACTAAATCAATTTAGCTAACACTAAAATAAAATTACAAATTTAATTAACTTGAAAATCCTTTTTTTTTTCCCTTTCATTCCATTGCACATCTAAAAGTACAAGTATGATTATAACTATGTCAAATTACAGAATATCAAGTATCAAAATACTACCCAAAATATTAAAGTAAGCGAACTAGCCATAGTCAAAAATCCAATCTTCCCACATATATGGGGAATTAATAGTACACATCACTTATACTAAGAAATTAAAAAGACAAATGTTCTAGTAAAAAATAGAAAAACATAAATGATGCTAATACCACATAATTTCTATCCTCACTTGCAACATAATAAATTTTTTTGGGAGTCCAAAATTGTAGATATTGTAGTGCCAAGACCTTCATTTATAAACTTAGTTGCATGTTCTCCATATACTACTGCAAACAATTAGAAAAAGTAAATTCAAATAAATGTCGAAATTCTATCAGAAACAATATCAACGTTCTGATAATATGATGATTTGTTATTTCAAATCTGTAGACATTTGTCTTTTTAATGTCTTTATAAAAAATAGAAGGTTTCTTATCAAGGTTTTAAAAAGCCATCACGATACGCTAACTTAAAGGTTTTTGCGGTTTAAAGTGGTACAAACGTTGCATTAATGCAATCGGTTGTCCGGTGTAAATTAATCATAACAATGATAAAGAATATTTTATGTAACTTGTACTTTTATATTATGATTTTTATGATTTTGAAAAAGAGAAATGTTATAGTAAAAAAAATAGAATCATGAGTACATCAACAATGCTAAACTAAAACCTCATACTTTGGTATCACACTTTTACATCAACAATACTAGACTAAATTCTCAAACTATAAGATGCACTCTTAAAAATATCACTTTCAAATCATGTTTGTAATATGAAAGAAAATTGGCGATTTTAATAACTCTCGATACTGTTCATGGATGTCTGCATATGTGATCGTCATCGCGACGACTTTCACCAAATTATCACGTCAAAAACGTGTGTGCGAAATGTCATCATCATTCTAATTTCCTAGGCCATTATAGGTTACAAGAATTAACCACTTCTAAAACAAAACTTAATTAATCTTAATTTAGAAAAATAAAACGTTAGTGAGATTTATTTTAGAGGGGGAAATTGAAAAGTTTCATTTCACAAGCTATATATATAGACCTCATTCGTTCTTTCTTATTTTTCGCCAACTTTTTCTTCTTTAAACCTTAAGAGCCCTATAATTTATTTTACAAACTTAACTTCAAAAATCTTCTTCTCAAGTTCTAACAACAATGACTTCCTCTGGTATGAAGAAATAACTTCCTATTCCATTTGCTTCTGATCTTCAAGAACCCATTTTCATCAACAATGGAAGTTATGTTCGTGAACCTCCAATGGAAAAGGATAAGGCCATTATCTGAGATTCCCAGATATTAATCCCTTTTTCTATTTCTGGAAAAGTTCATGCTTTCTTGGGTCCATTTTCCAGACTCACTCCAAAACCTGATAAATTAAATAATTTTTCCCTTATCATCGTCATTGCAAACCTCGTGCATTTGAAATATTATCTATGAATTAGGTTTGATGAGTTCACCTCTACGAATATTCTGTTATTCTCTTACCATTAATATTGAAGCTTATATTAATTGGTTGGATAGAGTGGAGAAGAAAATAGAACAAATCTAAAAGAATCAAGGTACATATGACTTGATTTAATTGTCTAGAACTGATCCTAAATACAACCCCAATATGCTCATTTAGCTCTTTACTTTTGGAGGATTCAACCAAAATCTTTCTACTCCGCTATGGAATGATAACCCCATTCTTTTTGACGTGGTTGTTATCCCTGGTCTTCGACAAACTAAGGATACCTTCGACCCCATACTAAAAAGTAAAATTAAGCCTAATTTTTCTTTCACCCGTCCAAGCTTCAATAATTATATCAAAGACCGTCATAAGGGCACTTAGGAGATTTTTAATTATGAACACATTGCCTTCCTCGCCTTCTGGCTATCCCACTTTATCTTTTCTATGGTTCTCTGTAGATAGCCAAGAAGTTCATAACTTTGGCAACTCATATCCATGAGGGGAAACATTTTTTCTCACCAAACTAATCCTAGATTCCCTTTATGAATCTCTAGGGATTACTGTCTCCAAACTGAAATCCATTAACCTTCTTGATGAAAAACTTTTGAATCTCTAGGTCACTTTTGAACCCTCTTTGAAGGTCACCATCCCATATAATTTGACAAGACAAGTTGAAAATGGATGGGTCAAAGGCACTATGCTCGTTCTACTTACTCTAGATGGCCTAGGACTTATCAGTCATAAACCAAACATGGGGGCCAAACAACTTGGCTTTAGTCAATTCCTACCAAAGTCCCTTTTTGTTCACAAGAAGGAAATATGTTTGGCCACCACTACCCTGTTGGAGGAAATCTATCGAGCATGTTTATAATATCATGCCAAAGCAACCCTTACTCCAACCCCTTTTAAATTTCAAGTTCTTATTTATGCACACAAGAATTTGAAGAATGGTGGTTGACTTATTTTCTTGAC